CACACACACACATATATATACACAGAATTATATATATATATATATATATACATACATACATATATATATATACATACACATATACCTACAGAATGCTAGGGGGAGAACTAATGTCTATCAGCAGGCAAACGGTTGAATAAATGATTGTTCATTGACCATATTGATCAGTGTGTTGATTTAGAATATTTTCCGCAAGATTTCGTTAAATGAGAAAAGCAAGCAGCAGGGAAGTCTTTACAGTATGATCCCATTATATAAGTGAAACAAAAGTTCTGACATGAGAACACAGGAAAAGGTATGGAAAGATACACAGCATTTTGTGTACATCATGTGCATATGTATGTCTATACACTGTGGGAGGGGGAGAAGGGATGTATCGAGAGATGTAGAGAGGGAAGATATAAAAACTCTCAAAACTGGAGAAGATGGAAAACAATAGAAAAATAGCATGGAAATTTTTCTCTTTATGTAAAATGATGTGTCTTCATAAAGACAAATGAAAGAGTGACTGTCAACAAACTAAGACCCCGTGCAGCCAAATAATAAAGATAAATATTAAAAAAAGAGAGACGGAAATTGGAGATGGGGGCATGCTGAGAGAGTAGCTCAGCTCACAAAGGGCAAAGGGAGTTTTTCGAGTAAGAGGCGAAAGGAACCAGTAGTTTGAGCCCTCAGTAAGAGGTGTTATGATGTGCTTAATGAAGAGTGCCTGCCTGCCTCTCCCCATACCTGTAGTTTGTTCAACTGGGTTAGAAGGAGAGGAAGGCCACAGTGAGGAAGAGAAACAAAGCAGCTGGGTACACCAAAAAAGAATTTGGGAACTTTGCCACAACCTAAGGACAGTAATGCACACAGCATCCACTATCACTCAACACTGCCTGGCAATTCAACACTATTTCCCTAGTATATTTGTATTCCCTATTTAATACCTTCTCTCTCTCCAAATTCCCTATAATCCACCCTTCCCCAACTCTCCAGTGATCATCTTGCCTCTTATTCATTGAGAAAATCAAAACAAATCAGAAAAGAACTGCCCTCATTTGTCTTCTATACCATCTGTACCATCATATGCACCTTATATGCTGTCAGTACAGATAAAGCATCACTCCTACTAAAGGCCAACCCCTCACTTAAGCATTGGATCTCTTCCCCTTCTTACCTCACCCATGGAAACCCCCCTCTCCTACATTATCAATTTCTCTCTTTTTACATACAAGTGTACTTTGGTACTTGACATCATGGATGTCTCAAAGGCATTTCCAACTTAAAATGACCAAAACTTAAGTCTTGACTTCCCTCTTCCCAATTATCATATCTTATAAATGGCACCATCATCCACACAATTTTTGAAGTCAAAATCTAGAAGTTATCCTAGAGTATTCTAACAAACTTAACATCCAATCCATTAGCAAGTCCTGTATACTCTACTTCCAAAATATTCAAAATTAATTTCTTAGATGTTCCTCACTACCCCCAATATCCAAGCCACCTTTTGGCATGCACTTGTGGAATAGCTTCCTAATTGGTTGAAACAATTAGTTTTGCTTTTCCCTTTGTCTCCTGATTTTTGTAGGGCTGATTTCTTGTCATTCAGATCTGAGCTTAATCAATCTGATTTCAGTATTGACCACGGTGATATACAGACGGTCAATACTGAAACAGTCAGATTGATTATATTCTTTGCAGCCAAAGATAGAGAAGCTCTATACAGTCAGCAAAAACAAGACTGGGAGCTGACTGTGGCTCAGATCATGAATTCCTTATTGCCAAATTCATACTTATATTGAAGAAAGTAGGAAAAACCACTAGACCATTCAGGTATGACCTAAATCAAATCCCTTATGATCATACAGTGGAAGTGACAAATAGATTCAAGGGATTAGATCTGATAGATGGAGTGCCTGAAAAACTATGGACAGAGGTTCATGACATTGTACAGAAGGCAGAGATCAAGACCATCCCCAAGAAAAAGAAATGCAAAAAGGCAAAATGGTTGTCTGAGGAAGCCTTACAAATAGCTGAGAAAAAAAAGAGAAGCAAAGGCAAAGGAGAAAAGGAAAAATATACCCATTTGAATGCAGAGTTCCAAAGAATAGCAAGAAGAGATATGAAAGGTTTCCTCAGTGATCAATGCAAAGAAATAGAGGAAAACAATATAATGGGAAAGACTAGACATCTCTTCAAGAAAATGAGAGATACCAAGGGATCATTTCATGCAAAGATGGGCACAATAAAGGACAGAAATGGTATGGACCTAACAGAAGCAGAAGACATTAAGAAGAGGTGGCAAGAATACACAAAAGAACTATAGAAAAAAGATCTTTATGACCCAAATAACCACAATGGTGTGCTCACCCACCTAGAGTCAGACATCCTGGAATGCGAAGTCAAGTGGGCCTTTGAAAGCATCACTATGAACAAAGCTAGTGGAGGTGGTGGAATTCCAGTTGAGCTGTTTCAAATCCTAAAAGATGATGCTGTGAAAGTGCTGCACTCAATATGCCAGCAAATTAGGAAAACTCAGCAGTGGCCATAAGACTGGAAAAGATCCATTTTCATCCCAATCCCAAAGAAACGCAATGTCAAATAATGTTCAAACTACCACACAATTTCACTCATCTCACACGCAAGTAAAGTAATGCTCAAAATTCTCCCAGCCAGGCTTCAACAGTACGTGAACTGTGAACTTCCGGATTTTCAAGCTGGATTTAGAAAAGGCAGAGGAACCAGAGATCAAATTGCCAACATCTGTTGGATCATCGAGAAAAACATCTATTTCTGCTTTATTGACTATGCCAAAGCCTTTGACTGTGTGGATCACAACAAACTGTGGAAAATTCTGAAAGAGATGGGAATACCAGACAACCTGACCTGCCTCCTGAGATATCTGTATGCGGGTCAAGAAGCTACAATTAGAACTGGACATGGAACAACAGACTGGTTCCAAATCGGGAAAGGAGTACGTCAAGGCTGCATATTGTCACCCTGTTTATTCAACTTATATGCAGAGTACATCATGAGAAACGCTGGGCTGGATGAAGCACAAGCTGGAATCAAGACTGCCAGGAGAAATATCAATAAGCTCAGATATGCATATGATACCACCCTTATGGCAGAAAGCAAAGAGTAACTAAAGAACCTCTTGATGAAAGAGGAGAGTGAAAAAGTTGGCTTAAAACTCAACATTCAGAAAACAAAGATTATGGCATCCGGTCCCATCACTTCATGGCAAATCGATGGGGAAATAATGGAAACAGTGAGAGACTTTATTCTCTTGGGCTCCAAAATCACTGCAGGTGGTGACTGCAGCCATGAAATTAAAAGATGCTTGCTCCTTGGAAGAAAAACTATGACCAACCTAGATAGCATATTAAAAAGCAGAGACATCACCTTGCCAATAAAGTTCAGTCTAGTCAAAGCTATGGTTTTTCCAGTGGTCATGTATGGATGTGAGAGTTGGACTATAAAGAAAGCTGAGCACCGAAGAATTGATGCTTTTGAACTGTGGTGTTGGAGAAGACTCTTGAGAGTCCCTCGGACTACAAGTAGATCCAGTCAATCCTAAAGGAAATCAGTCCTGAATATTCATTGGAAGCACTGATGCTGAAGCTGAAGCTCCAATACTTTGGCCACCTGATGTGAAGAACCAACTCACTGGAAAAGACCCTAATGCTGGGAACAGTTGAAGGCAGGAGAAGAAGGGGACAACAGAGGATGAAATGGTTGGATGGCACCACCGATTGGATGGACATGAGTTGAGTAAGCTCCAGGAGTTGGTAATGGATAGGGAGGGAAGCCTGGTGTGCTGCAGTCCATAGGGTCCCAAAGAGTTGGACAGGACTGGGCAACTGAACTGAACTAAACTCTGAGCTTAAACCTCAGCAGCTTACGGAGACCTTCCCACTGCAGCCAATTTAAGATTACTCTCAATCACTTCATCCTATTTTAACTCTCTATAGAGCATATTTTGCTCCTCCTCCCTATCGTTTACTCCATACTCCCCAGGGCCTACATCACTGCCTGGCAAAGGGCAGGTACACAACAAATAATTTTTGAATGAATGCAAAAGCACGTACTGTGTCCCAGGGTTGTGCTAATCTATGAGCTGTCTTCCCATTTCAGCAGGATAGTTTCATAAAATATAAAATTCCACATTGAGAATTAACGGGATGCATGTTATACCCCCTCTCCTGCCAGTAACCCACCTTCCTCTATTTTTCTCCCCTCGTAAAATAAAAAATAATAGTGAGGTGGGACTTGGAAAACAGGGTCATCAATATGGGCTTTTGCCACATTCGTGAGGCTTCATCGAGCTCAACGCGACAGAAACTAATCACAGCAGTAACGGATAAAAGCAGAAGGACAACCTCACGGCCCACAAGGACGGACGGCAAGGCTTGGGCGCACACCGCAAGCACTGCATGCTGGGAGTTGTAGTCTCTGGGCTAGGCCTGGCCAGCAGGACCCTGCCCCCGCAGCATGCTGGGAACTGTAGTCGACAGCTGGAAATGCACCGCAAGGAAGGACCGCAGTTAGGACTCCGCCTCCGCGCTTCCTCATTGCATGCTGGGAATTGTAGTCTTTCTCAGAACGCGCTCCCTCCCCCCGCCCCCAGGCGGAAAAGCACCAAGGCTGCGCCATCTTAGGTGCGAGTGCGGCAGTGGAGCTAGAGCGCAGGCGGGCACAGCCCCGGCCGGCCCCGCCCCCGGGAGCCCGGCGCCCGCCCCTTGTTCGGGCCCCGCCTTCCCCCACGTGTCTGCCGCGGGGGGAGGTCCTGAGCCGGAGCGGCCGCCTGCGGTCCGGCCCCGTAGGCGCAGAGGGTCCTGTCGGCGGCGCCCGGGAGCGACTAGCTTCCCGATGCTTCCGCCCAGGCTCCCGCCGGCCGGGCTGTGCGGTTAGGGCCCGGCTCCGGCCCCCTGAGGCGTCCGCGTGGGTGAGAACGGTTTCGGCCCCGCGGAACGGAGCGGCTGGAGCGCGAGGCGGCGGCCGCCGGGAGGAGGATGGGGGCTAACCAGTTGGTGGTGCTCAACGTGTACGACATGGTGAGTACGGCGCCGGCGCCCGAGCCCGGCCCCGGCCGGCTTTCTCTCGCCGATGGGTTCGGACCCGGCCCCTCGCGTTTCCAGCCTGGCGTCGCCGCCTCCCACTTGGTTCACCGGGGTTGGGGGAGGGGAGTATTATTTTTTTAATCCCTGCAAACGTCTCCGCGCTTCTTAGCTTTTCCCGGTCTGCCCCGGGGCTTTGGCCAAGACTCGGTTCGCCTCGAACCTCCCTCGTGCCCCGACTTGGCTCGGACCCTGGGCTGGGCCCGACCTTTTGGCCGACGAGCAGTGTCCTTTCCGCGAAGGTTGGGTCGCGGGTCGGACTTCCCGCTCCATCACCGGAACCCCGGGGCAGCCCCGCTTCTCCCACCCCAGTTGCCCGCTCTGCCAAAGCAGCCCGTCTTCAAAAACTCCCAAGCCCCTCCAAGTCCAGAAAGTCACCGCTTGTCCACGCCAGTGCTAGAGTCTCTTTAAAGGTGAACAGGAGCCAACACACCCTAGCCTCCAAGGCAACCTCATTAAAATGAATGAGGCTAAATTAAAATTTATACAGAAAATAGCCCATCTGAATTATTTAGGGGTTCGTGGTGGTACTCCTTTCCTAGATTCTGGAGACCTCTTTCCAGGTGATGCAACAGGTATCTGACGTGGCCGCAGGAGGGGGACGAGAAGGACGAGTTTGTTATATCATCGAACTTTTGGGGTACTGCGAGCATACAGAAATGAGTCCAGACGTTGGTTTGCGTTATAATCGCCATTGAAATAACCGGTACGCAGTTACTGTTGCAGTTAAGATGCATGCTTGGGTGTGCTTGCTTTTGGTCGATTAGTTTTTGTTGTATGAGAGGTCACCTCCACTTGGGATGGTTAAAATTTCGTAAGTGGATTGACAAGTGAAAAAGTCCCCAGCATTGTTTTTGTTGGTTTAAAGATGAAGTGCCAAAATACGGGAGGTCGGGAGTCGTGGTTCTCACTCATAGATCTAAACTTTGTGTCCCCTTGTATTGTTTTTTAAGTTTTTAAATTTACACTGTAACCTCTTGGGTAGGAAGGAATTCCTATTCCTCAGTCTGGGAATTATGTGAGAAGGCCATAGAGACTTCTTGGGACCTGAGGGGAGTACTCCATTGAGTTTGCATATAAATTTGGAGGTGAAAGGAGATAGGTTAGCATACTGAGAACAATGGAGTATGATAGGGAAAAGTTCCAGAGAGAAATAATCAGAACCAGAGATTTTAAAAGAGCTTGGTACTTTGTGAAGTCTTTGGCCTGTGTCACTGGTTAAGAAATAATTCTCTAGATTTAAACTTTTTGTGGATAGATGCGGAAGCCTTTGTTTTTCAAGAATTTTATTGCCCTTTTACTGTTTCTGCCTGGTTCCCCCGTTAGTGATCTGAATTTGGTTTCTTATTTATTCATGCAGATTGTTACACACCATCCCTCAGGATATATTCTGTTCTTGAGAGCACAGTATACTTTTTCTTCTAGATTGTTAAACCCCTTTATAAATTAGGATTATGCAGTGGCCAGAGGGCCAGTTTTATTGCCTAAAAGAAATCTGTGAAAGTAGAGGAAGAGAGCATTTTGCTTTTTTAATAAAACTGGAGATACATTCTTTGGCTTATAATGGGCTTCTTTACACTTTAGGTAGTCTATGAATAACAAATCACTGCTATGTCCTAAACGTAGGAACAACTAGAGATGATTCTCAAACCAGTATGTTTTGAAGGGAGGAGTGTTCTGAAAGATCTTTAAAATGTTAACAAGATAACAATTATTCTTCATATAGCTTTTGTGAAGTAGGTAGTCACAAAGTAAATAGAGAAAAGGATACCTGCCCAGAGAGCTACAAATAGGATCTAGAATTTCCAGACCACAGTCTGTTTCATTATTTTTTCTACTGAATTGTTCCTGTGTTTATTTCTTATATGTTGCTCTTTGCTGTCAACAGGAGGAGCACCTGAATGTTGATCAGAAATGATAAATAGCTGAGTTACTAGACTTCTAATAAACTTGAGTTTATATGTTCTCCTGAGAGCTTTTGGTGTGTGTCTTATGTCACTAACTCAGCAACCAACAGTTATTTAGTTAGGACCCTGTAGAAGTCACAAAGATGAATTAATTATGCTTTCTTCTTTAAGGAATTTAGAGTGTCATAGGGGAGGTACACCAGTGGTAACAATTCAGAACAATGTCATGGTTTTGATAAGAGCAGAACAAGATGTCAAGAAGACAGCACTCTTGTAGGATCATGGAATGCTGAAAAATAAAGGGAAAAACCCTGAAGAATGGGGAGGACTTCCGCAGGCAAGGGATAGTCAGCGCAAACAGACTGGCAAGAGAAGGAAAGCACAGGTTGGATTTGGAAAATCCGGTGTAGCTAGAGTGTAGGATGCATGAAAGGAGACAAAACTTTCAGTTTGGCTAGAATTTTTATTAGTTTGGGGCTGAGGGGATGGTCTGTGAGCCAGGGGGAACCATTTAAAGTTTTCGAGGTGAAGAGCAGTGTGGTCGGAGTTATGTTTTAGAATCAAGACTAGTGGATTGAGGTATAAATTTGTAGCTATTATACTCATTTTTCTCAAGTCAGTTTTGGTTTTTGAAGCATCTTTGCTTGATGTCAAGGGCAAATTCCTTTTATCTTTGGTAGTACTTCCTATTCATCATAAATGCCTTTGATGAGGATTGCTGTGGTCTGTCGGAACAGGCCGGGTACATCAGCTGTCTATCTAGTTTAGACTTTGTAAACATGAAAATCAGCCTTTGATTTGTGCTTACAGTCGCTGTTCATAGGGACCTCTTGCAGTGTATCCTTGTTCCTCTTTCTCTGTGAGACTGTTGCCTGCTCTAGTTGACTGTGTTTTTCCTGTTCAGTAGATTGGGAGCTGCTGATCATTTCTTTTCTTCCATAACTCTGTCACATATATTTTGGGAATGAGGTTATTCACATATTGCTAATTTATTGGCATACATAGTAAAGCAAGTGATTCAGATTAGTTTCAATTGCTGGGCCAGTCTCTGGCATAGCCACTTGTGCACAAGGTCTTCCTTTGTCATAGATTCAGATTTTGTGCTGCTAAATGAATTTTTAGAAACCAAAAATATGCATTAATATGATGTTTATAGATTTCATCCTATAAACAATTTTCTTCCCGACTTTTAAATAGTATCTGCACATCTTCAGAGTCATAGACACTTTCTAGGAGTCTTCAGATGGAGAAGTTTTTGTCTAGACTCCATTCTTATGATTCTCCTCACCCCATTGTACTTCTCCAAGAGTGTGAGGCCATGCAGGAATGACGGGATCTGACTTCCTGCACATCTGTAAATCTAATTCACTCTTCTTGAAAGAGTTTCAGACTCACCTGAATATACTTTAACCTAAGTGATTCCATAGTATCTTTAAATCAACATGTCCAGGAGCAAACATTTTTCCTTTTCTCCTTTCCTGACCTCAGGCCCCTCCCCTTCTCTACCCAGCCCTCCCTCCTACATGCTCCCGCGGGAGCACACACACACACATTGCTTGTGTTGTAATTTTATCTCAATAACTAGCGCCTTCTTCTGCTCAGTTTCCCAAGCCAACACCTTGGGAGTAAAACTTAAATTCCTTTTTATTTCAAACCCTTCAAACTCTTCCTGTCTCTTAGTTTGGTTGATTTTATCTGGAAGTAAGAGAGAGCGTGACGATCAGTGGCTTAAACTGGAAGGGTCCTTAATCCAGAGATTAAACAGTCCCTGTGTTAGTTGAGCAGCTCAGCCAAGTCAGCAAGGACCACAACGTTTTCATCTGTTCACTCAGCTGTCCTCCACATGTTGGCGTTTCTCCCTGCATTGTCCCCGCGTCATTGGAACGTGACTGTCATGCCCCCGTGTCCTCATTCACTGAGCTGCGAAGACAGGTGAGCAGGACCGTTCTCCACCTGCACCTCTCCTTTTCATAACAGAAGGGAAAGACTGCCAGAGCCCCCTTCCTTTCCTGAGAGATTGTCCAGAGTTGGCTCACAGTGACTGTGATGAAGCTGAGAAGGCGAGTGTGTGGCTTTTCCAGCCTTTGTGGTGAGTTGTGAGTAGGCGGGTAGCTGGGAACCTGTGATGTCTATCACAGACTTCACTTTCTGAATAGTCTTTAAATTAGTTATCTTACCCCCATTTCCACCACTGCTTCTCAAGTTCAGGCCCTCCTTATCTCTGCTTCTATAATAGACTTCTTATGAGTTTCAGTCTCAAATGTTACTTCATTTTAGTCCGTCTTCCCTTCTGTGACCAAAGTAGTCTTCCTGAAACTAAATGATTGGTGCCATTCCTCTGCCTAAAATTCACCTGTAAGATAAAGTCTAATAACTAAGGCCTTTTTTGGTGCACCTGACTACTAAAAAAAACCTTCCCTACCAGTCCCCTACTACCACCCCTCCACCTAATATTCACTCTTTATGCTCACACAGTGAAATTTTTAAGTTATCCAAATAGGCTATATCTTTTACACATGCTGATCCTTCTGTCTGGAGTGTCCAATTCCAATGTTGCTCAGCTATTAATACAGCCCCTGTTCCTTCTGACTGTAGCTTAGCCTTTACTCATCAGACTTGCCTTAACTTCTGGGCCCTAGTTGTACTTTCTACATGTCTCAATAACTGCATGTGTTATCATTCTGTCCATCCCACTAGACTGCAAGTTACTTGATTGTTGTTGTTCTGTCACCCAATTGTGTCTGACTCTTTGCGACCCCATGGGCTGCAGCATGCCAGGCCTCTCTCTCCCTCACCGTCTCCTGAAATTTGCCCAAGTTCTTGTCCATTGCATCGGTGATGCCATCCAGCCATCTCATCCTCTGATGCCCTCTTCTCCTTCTGCCCTCAAGCTTTCCCAGCACCATAGACTTTTCCAATGTGTCAGCTTTTTGCATCAGATGACCAAAATAATGGAGTTTCAGCTTCAGCATGAGTCCTTCCAGTGAGTATTCAGAGTTGATTTCCCTTAAGATTGACTGGTTTGATCTC